CTCAAAAATATTTTGAAGATGATTGCTATGAATATGACAGTTCTTGCAACGTGCAGCAGCAATCTTTGGGCAGTCGAAGTTATTTTTGCAAACAAACTTATTTAGATGTTATTTCGAAGTTATTTTTGCTAATTATTCAATGTGAAGATTTTGTTTGAGCTGTTCAGAAAGATCATATAAAACGAAGAAAGCAGAGGAAATGATTCTTAAAAGAATCACAAAAGAAACGACACACTTTGAAGACATTCGAACTACGATGTTCTCCTGATCTGTACCGAAATAAGAAAATAATCGTTACTGAAAGAAATGAGAATGCAAAATAAGCACCGATGCATTCTGATAGCAAAGTGGCTATGCGAAAAGACCTTACGAAACGATTAATAAGTCAACAGATTATATCGCTTTGAATAGCGGTTGTCTAACATCGAAATCATTCAAACTTTCTGCTATGTCCTCAAACTATTCGTGTGGTTTGCATTTTGCACGATTTATTGTCACGTTTACTCAACAAATGTGATTCGAATCACAGTGCAACGCGCTCATAAATTTGTCCGTTCTAATGACGATGTGCTCAAAAGAGCGCCATTCAATGACATGACGACGTACTTATAAAATATTGCAAGATGAATTCAATTTGATACACTGATTCAAGGTAAACATTTACTGAGATATGACAAGTGACACAAGCATTCAGTCAAATACATTGTATATTATTATGTCAATATCCATTAGGCAAAGTGAAAAGGCAAAATAATAAAACTAATAATAACGCGAAAGACGATTCTTTTACGAGAAAAATATCATGAATAAACCAAAATTTGACGGAAAAATGCAGAACGATGTGAAAATTTGTGAGAAATGAGCGACTGCGATGCACATTTACACAGGATCGTATTTGCTTCTAGGAGAAGTTCATTTTTTGGCTTTTGAAGAGGGATGAAACATTAGAGAAGACAAATAAACTGAAAGCATTCAATGAATAACGCTGCTATTTTGAAGGAGAAATAAATAGTAATCGAATGTATTCAAGGAAAGAGCCGTGCATCGCATTCTACTGACATAACAAATCTTATTCAAATTGCCACTGAGGGACCGAGAGGGTTTAACTTAGTGACGGCATACCAAGGAAATCGGACGTGGAAATCGTAAGAGGGTGACTGACTTAGCTTATTATTAAGAATTAAAACCGCATATATATTTTCCAACCAATTGTTCAGCCGCAACTACTTCCTAATGTAAAATAGATTATCGAACTGAATTTAAGAGAATTTCTATCGACAAACCTTTTCATTTTCTTCGCATTCAATGTCACCTGAGATGCGACTGCAAATAACAATTCATGATCGTTCTCGAAACGTTCTCGAATTTCTCGTTGAAAGTACTGAAAATTGTCATTTTCAGGTTACACAAGAAGGACTCAGTTTTAGAAATGAACGAGGAAAACGAAGCTGGACGTGATTTTTAAAGTGATTTCACATTCTCTATGATCAACTGATAATAATGATTAGCAATAATGCAATTCAACATCGCATCGACAGATTTTATGAATGCTGGTGATGAACTTTAATATGCCGTGCAATGAGTTCCGGAGAAAATGAATGATACTGTTATAAATGGAACATGATGGCTGAGGATTTAAGAAGAAAATTGACTAAAGACTGTCAGTTTATTTTCCGTACTCTCAACTGCACCAAAGCATGTAAACGACTTATTAAGAAGTTCACGAATAATGTAGGTTGTGTTTTAAAAAACGGTGGTCATCTCGTTTCTAATGATAATCTGTTCAGTGAAAAGAATTCTATCCCTTACTACGGGGCATCATCAATGTTAGCAACCTATACACCTGATGAAATCACTAATGGATTTGTTGACGCTGGTAAATCTATCAAATCGTTTGAAATATAAACGGAACAGCTATAAATTAGTTCTTGCCATTCTCTTACATTCTCACTCGTCATTTATTTTTCACAAGATGGAGTGACCATTCATGTCTCTATTAAACGAAAATATGCACTGAATTAACGGTGTAGTTACGGTGATGAACTTCAGAAGGTGAAGTCTCATCTTATGGAGATAAATTTCGGCGATTTTTTGCAGTTTTGGGTGCATTTCCAATCGAGTGGTGCTAAGAACATGATTCTTACGAATCTGAAGATTCACAAAGCTAAAGTGGAACAAACCTTGAGCATTCCTTCCATATCGAGTTTCAAGAGATCAACTCGAGCTTGCTGAAGGATTGCCATCGCTATACGGAATACACATTCCATTCCCTTAAACAACAGATGCACTGATCAAATGATTGCAAAAACGCAAAAAGTACCACATTCAATTATCGTAGATAAATGCGATTGAAAAAGC